GCGGCATTTTGGTCCCGGTCGACCTGCGATGGTCCCGGGACCCCGGCGATAACTCCCGGCGTTCAAACGTCGCAGCGCCCGGATCTCAAGGTTAGTGTGACCTTCAGGCGCACGCCCGTTGGGGCACATCCTGCGCTGCCCAGGTGTCGTGATGCCGCCGCAGCCATCCTTGTCGTCGTCGTCTTCGTCGTCGTCCTCGTCCTCGCCCTCGTCCTCGTCCGCGTCCTCATCCTCGTCCTCGCCCTACGTCCTCGTCCTCGTCCCCGTCCTCATCCGCTTCCTCGTCCTCGTTCTCGCCCTCGCCCTCGTCCTCGTTCTCGTCCTCGTCCTCGCCTTCGTCCTCGTCCTCGTCCTCGTCATGGTCGTCGCCCTCGTCATCGTGCTTGTCCTCGTCGTTGTCGCCGTCGTCCTCGTGCTCGTCCTCGTCCTCGTCCTCATAGTCGTCCTCGTCGTCGTCGGCGTCCTCGTCCTCGTGGTTCTCGTCCTCGTGCTCGTCGTCGTCCTCCTCGTCCTCATTGTCGTCGTCCTCGTCCTCGGTCTCGTCTTCTTCCTCGTCCTCGTCCTTGTCTTCGTCGTCACCGTAGTCCTAGTCATAGTCATCGTCCTCGTCCTCGTCCTCGTTGTCGTCGTCCTGGTCCTCGTTGCGGTCGTCCTCGTTCTCGTCCTCGCCTTTGTTCTCGTTCTCGATGTCGTCGTCGTCGTCGTCGTCGTCGTCGTCGTCGTCGTCGTCGTCGTCGTCACCCTCGTCATCGTCGTCGTCCTCGTCCTCGTTTTCGTTGTTGTCGTCCGCGTCCTCGTCGCGGCCGTCGTCCTCGTCGTTGTCGTCGTCGTTTTCGTTGTCGTTGTCGTCGTCCTCCTCCCCGTCGTCGTCGTCCACGCTTCGTCGTCCTCGTTCTCGTCGTCGTCCTCATCCTTGTCCACGTTGTCGTCGTCCTTGTCCTCGTCGTCGTCCTCGTTGTCCTCTGCCTGGTCGTCGTCCTCGTCCTCGTCCTCGTCGTCGGTCTGGTCGTCGTCTCCGTCCTCGTCCTCGTTGTGGTCGTTGTCCTCGTCCTCGTCCTCAACTTCGTCCTCGCCCTCGTGCTCGATCTCGTCCTCGTCCGTGTTCTCGCTGTCGTTCTCGTCCTTGTCGTCGTTCTCGCCCTCTTCCTCAATTCCGTCGTTGTCCCATCCTTGTCGATGTCGTCCTCGTGCTCTTCCTTGTCCTCGTCATTGTCCTCGTCTTCGTCGTCGTCGTCCTCGTCGTTGTCCTCGCCCTCTTCCACGTCGCCGTTCTCGTCCTCGTCCTCATTTTCATCCACGCTTTGTCGTCGTCCTTGTCCTCGTCATCGTCGTCGCCTTATTCCTCTATTTCTCGTCGTCGTCCTCGTCCTCGTTCTTGTCCTCGTGCACGTCCTCGTTCTCGTCCTCTTCCTCGATTTCGTCGGAATCCTCGTCCTCGTCGTCCTCGTCCTCGTTCTCGTCCTCATCGTCGTCCTCGTCCTCGTTCTCGGTCTCGTCGTCGTCGGCGTGCTCGTCCTCGCTCTCGTCCTCGTCCTCGTCGTTGTTCTCGTCCTCGTCCTCCTTATCGTCGTCATTCTCCTCGTCGTCATCGTGCTGGTCCTCGTTCTCGTCCTCGTCGTCATTCTCGTCGTCGTTCTCGTCGTCGACGTCGTCGTCGTCGGCGTCGTCGCACCGCGCCGCTGGCGTGGCCCTCGGAGGTACCGCGCCTTTACCAGGCTGCTGCTGCCCGCGCGGCAGGCCGTGCGCCCCCTAGGGGCGGCCGAGCTGGCGCGCCTCGTGCAGGACATCTACGCGGGCCTGGTCGTCGAGGCCCCCGCCGCCCGTAGGGGATGGAGGGGGGAGGAGGAGGAGGAGAAGGAGGAGGAGGAGGAGGAGGAGGAGGAGGAGGAGGAGGAGGAGGAGGAGGAGGTGAGGAGAGGGGAGGAGAGAGGAGGAGGTGGGAGGATGGACGAAGACGAGGATGAGGATGAGTGCGGAGGAGGTGGAGGAGGAGCTGAGCTGTCGAAACGGGAAAGAAGGAGGGAGGGAGGAGAAAGGAGGAGGAGGAGGAGGAGGAGGCGGAGGCGGAGGCGGCGGCGGAGGAGGAGGAGGAGGGGGAGGAGGAGGGGAGGGGGGCGAAGGGGAAGGAGGGGAAGGAGGAGAAGGAGGAGGAGGAGGAAGAGGAGGAGGAGAAGGGTTGCGGCAGTCGACGACTTCTTACGCCACCAGGTTCCAGGTTCCAGCAGGAAGAAGGACCAAGGGGAAGAAGGACAGGAGAAGGGACGAGGGAGGAGAATGAGGATGAGGCCGCGGAGGAGGAGGAGAAGGAGGAGGAGGAGGATCATGAGCAGCTTTTGCTTCTCGGCCCCCGGGGGCCCTCATCAGGCCCTGGGGGTATCAGAGCGGGGGAAGGGCTCGGGACCTGGAGCCGAGGACTGGACAAAGTCATATCAGTGGATGCCTGACGACGATGACGACGACGACGACGACGGCGGCGGCGACGACGACGACGGCGACGACGACGACGATGACGACGAGGACGACGACGACGACGACGACGACGACGACGACGACGACGACGACGACGACGACGGCGACGACGACGACGACGACGGCGACGAGGACGAGGACAACGACGAGGACAACGACGAGGACAAGGACGAGGACCAGGGCAAGGACGGGCACGAGGACGACGACGCCTGCTCAGGTCGCCAGCAGCGGCTCGAGGCCCCGGAGCTTCCCGGACATGGTCCACGCCATCGCCGCTCGGCGCCCGGGGCTGGCTGCCAAGGGGGTTCGGTTGGGGGGGCACCAGCTCCTCGCGGAGCGCGAGGTTTCAGGATCGAGGCTCGAGGAGGTGCTTGGACATTTGTCGGGGGTGGACAGACCTCCTACCCTGACACGTCGATTAGTGAATTGTCCGTTTTCGGTTCTCCAGAGGGCGCCGCGGCCGGACTGCGCCCGCCATGTTTGGGCCCGAGGTCGTCTTCACTAAACCACGTTTTACTAAAGGGGGGTCTGTCCATCCCCGAATTTGGGCGACGAAGGAAAACGGGGCCGACAAGGCCGACCTTAGCGCGCAAGCTGCCCGCGTCGGTGCGCAGGCGCCCTCGCTTCCAGAGTAGCCTGCTGCGCCGGCGGCCCCCGTGAGCCACCGCGCAAAGTCGCCATGTCCTCTTGCGTGAGACGCGTTGCTCTTCGTCGCTCATTTTGGGGCGTTCCAGAAACGGCCTGGCCGTCGAGGACTTGAGAGGTTGCCGTTTCCTCCTCCGCGGAAGTCGCGGCGGAGGTAAAACGAGGCGGGCCGCGGAAGTTGGCGGAAGGCCAGCGGAAGCCGGCGGATGTAAAACACGAGCCCTTCAGAAACGGCAACCGTTTCGGGTCCAGGGTTTCCGGAACCCGCCATTTGGGAGGAGGAGGAGGAGGAGGAGGAGGAGGACGAAGACGAGGAGGAGGAGGAGGTGGAGGATGAGGACGAGGAGGAGGAGGAGGAGAAGGAGGTGGAGGAGGAGGAGGAGGTGGAGGAAGAGTAGGAGGAGGATGGAAGGCTCTGGAGAGTTCTGCGGGGCCCACTTCCGCGCGGAACTGACGCTTTTTCTGGGAAGTGGCGGGGCCCCCCTGTGGCACTGCCCCAGGCGCTGGGGCTTGCGCGCTGCCGTCAGCCAGAGGTGCTGGTGCCTGGTCTACAGCGTGGACCGGCTGAAGAGCAGCCACCTCTTCGCGGGCCTCTTCGGGAGGCTCCTGGACGAGTCCATGGACCGCCTCGACCTGCATTACCTCCTGCGCGCCTGGCAGTTCGTGGTGCCCTCCGCGTCCAGGCCCGGGATCGGCGCCGCGCAGGCCATCCACCTCGTGAGGAGGCCCAAAGCAGAGAACAAATGAGATACATTCAGGAGGGAAAGAAACACACAGACACAATGAATCGTCGATTCCCCAGAAATTATGGGAAAATATGGGAAGTGGGGGGGAAGACAGAAACCCAGAAAATATAGAAAAATATGGGGCATATTTTTATTTGTGTGTATTTATTTGTGTGTCCCAGGGCCCCTTCATACATATATTTTCGGAGGTCCGCGCGGATTTCTCGGATCGGCGCTGGACCGCCTCCAGCGCCGCCCCTGGCGCGTTCCGCGTGCCGGGGCGGGGGCCCCTGCACCGATCCGAGGCATCCGCGCAGGCCTTCCCGAACAAGCTCGACTTGTTCAACACAGGTCCCCAGGATTCCCGACCCGTCCTCTGGGACCTGCTTTTCATCCCGAGTGTTTTTGTTGATGGCCCCGTGGCCTGGCGAGGTTCCCCAGAGGGCGAAAAAAAGCGGCCACAAACTGTCCGTCGCGAATTTTCCACTACGCGAGCATTGCTTGGGCCCGAAGCCCCGAGGTCGGACGCCGCGAAAAGAATCAGACATCGGCAGACATCACGACCGGAGCCCCAGTCCCCATCTTTCTGCTGCAGTTTTCGAGTTGGATCGATCTGTGATGGCCCCGGGGTTCAGAGCAGGGCAGACTTTCGGACGGGCCTAGAATCGAGACTCATCCGTTCCAGAGCGTCCCCGAACGCTCTCAGAGGCGCCATATACATCGTCCAAACCGGCCGATTCTGAGAGATTTCCGAATTATATCGGTCGGTTTTTACCTAACAGCGAAGACTGATAGGTTTCTAGTGGTGTCAAAAGAGAGCAGCAGATGACTCCACAGGGGGGTCCGGGCGGGACCCGGGGCGGCTGCCGCCGAAGCCCAAATCGCTTTGGACATCCTCGCAAAATCGCTCTTGGCGCTGCTAGAACTCCATTCTCGGCGTACATTTTGAATGCCCGGAGCCAACTGTAGGCCACTTCGTGGTCTTCGAGTTCCCAGAACTCCATTCCCGGTGTACATTTTGGATGCCCGGAGCAAACTGTAGGCCACTTCGTGGTCTTCGAGTTCCCAGAACTCCATTCCCGGCGTACATTTTGGATGCCCGGAGCCAACTGTAGGCCATTTCGTGGTCTTCGAGTTCCCAGAACTATATTCCCGGGCCACATTTTGGATGCCCGGAGCCAACTGTAGGCCACTTCGTGCTCTTGGACTTCCCAGAATTCCATTCCTGGGCATGATTTTGAATGTCCGGAGCAAACTGTAGGCCACTTCGTGTTCTTCGAGTTCCCAGAATTCCATTCCCTGGCTACATTTTGAATGCTGAGGCAGGCTGATGCTGAGGCTGAGGCAGGCTGAGGCAGGCTGAGGCTGAGGCCGAGGCTGAGCCAGGCTGAGGCTGAGGCTGATGCAGGCTGAGGCTGAGGCTGAGGCAGGCTGAGGCTGATGCAGGCTGAGGCTGAGGCAGGCTGAGGCTGAGGCTGAGGCAGGCTGATGCTGAGGCAGGCTGAGGCTGAGGCTGCGGCTGATGCAGGCTGAGGCTGAGGCAGGCTGAGGCTGAGGCCGAGGCTGAAGGCAGACTGAGGCTGAGGCTGAAGCAGGCTGAGGCTGAGGCTGAGGCAGGCTGAGGCTGAGGCTGAGGCTGAGGCAGGCTGAGGCTGAGGCAGGCTGAGGCTGAGGCTGATGCAGGCTGAGGCTGAGGCAGGCTGAGACTGAAGCCGAGGCTGAAGGCAGATTGAGGCTGAGGCTGAAGCAGGCCGAGGCTGAGGCTGAGGCTGAGGCAGGCTGAGGCTGAGGCTGAGGCAGGCTGATGCTGAGGCTGAGGCTGAGGCTGAGGCTGATGCAGGCTGAGGCTGAGGCATCCTGAGGCTGAGGCCGAGGCTGAAGGCAGACTGAGGCTGAGGCTGAAGCAGGCTGAGGCTGAGGCTGAGGCAGGCTGAGGCTGAGGCTAGGCAGGCTGAGGCTGAGGCAGGCTGAGGCTGAGGCTGAGGCTGAGGCAGGCTGAGGCTGAGGCAGGCTGAGGCTGAGGCCGAGGCTGAAGGCAGACTGAGGCTGAGGCTGAAGCAGGCTGAGGCTGAGGCTGAGGCATGCTGAGGCTGAGGCTGAGGCAGGCTGAGGCTGAGGCAGGCTGAGGCTGAGGCTGAGGCTGATGCAGGATGAGGCTGAGGCAGGCTGAGGCTGAGGCCGAGGCTGAAGGCAGACTGAGGCTGAGGCTGAAGCAGGCTGAGGCTGAGGCTGAGGCAGGCTGAGGCTGAGGCTGAAGCAGGCTGATGCTGAGGCAGGCTGAGGCTGAGGCTGAGGCTGATGCAGGCCGAGGCTGAGGCAGGCTGAGGCTGAGGCCGAGGCTGCAGGCAGACTGAGGCTGATGCAGGAGCAGGCTGAGGCTGAGGCTGAGGCAGGCTGAAGCTGAGGCTGAGGCTGATGCTGAGGCAGGCTGAGGCTGAGGCTGAGGCTAATGCAGGCCACTGCGACTGTCATCGCGAATGCGACTACGACTGCGAGAACAGCAGAACTCTACAACTGGATTCGCATCTGAATCTTAGGGGGGATGCTTCCAGATATGCTCCTACACATCGCTGTTAGGTTGCTTTGCCGGGATAATTGTCTAGATTCTGGCTTCGTCTTAGATTTGCGACGCCAGGTCCTCAGGGAAGCTTGCGCCCGAGGCTGCTCGAGAAGGAGGAGGAGGAGGAGGAGAAGGAGGAGGAGGAGGAGGAAGAGGAGAAGGAGGAGGAGGAGGAGAGGGAGAGGGGTAGGGGGAGGAGCAGAAGATGGATGCTGACATAATGATGCATGAGGATGATGATGCTGATGACATGAGGAGATGCTGCTGATGACTGATGATGATGATGATGATGCTGATGATTGATGGATATGATGATGATAGATTGGCTGCTGCTGATGCTGATGCTGATGCTGATGCTGATGCTGATGCTGATGCTGATGATGATGATGATGATGATGATGAGGAGGAGGAGGAGGAGGAGGAGGAGGAGGATAAGGAGGAGGAGGAGGAGGAGGAGGAGGAGGAAGCGTGCGCCCAAGGCTGCTTGAGCAGGAGGAGGTCCAGAGCCTCATCTCGCAGAGGCTCTCCTCGGGAGAGCCGCGGCGCGCCGTGCGCGGCCACGAGGTCGGCGACCTGCAGGGGGTGTGGCTGCGCCAGGGTGTGACTTGCGACCTTCGTCGTTAGCGCAACGGCAATCGGCACGAGCGACATGGGCACGGAAAGAATGGTTGCGATGCCCAGTAGCAGCTCCTGGTCATTTCGAACGGGACTCGCTGTCGGCGCCGCCGCGGACGTCGTCCACTCGAGACAGGAGGCGGCCTGCGCAACGGCGGCCCTCTGCCGGTTCTGGGCAGCATTTGCCGTTGAGCCTCGTACCCGTTTTTTCCGTTCCCGTTTTGGGCGTCCAAGGAGAAAGGGGTAACTATAGGAACAGAGGCGGATGCATCGACCCCCCAATCGCTCGTTGATCGCCGATAGGGGCCTGATGGCCCCACCCCGCCCAGAAACGTGCGGATTTGCGGCATGGGGCTTGGCAGGGTTCGTGTCGATTCCTCTGAGTCGATTCGATTCGATTCCGATGGTTGCCGATTCTGCTTCGATTCGGCTTGGGATTCCGATTTGGATGCAGACTTCTCAACGGAGGCCTACTATCCTGCCGAT